AAGCAGTCCGGCACCCTTAGGGAGTGGCTTACTGACCGCTTAATACACGTTTACCGTTAAATACAGCGGTGTGGCAAACCTAAGAGTTTTTCAAGGAAATAAAAAAAGGTGAAAGAGCGAAATATCTATCCCTCGACAAATTGACCTCAAAATGTCTCTACCTCTTGTGCCGAAGGAAAGGAGGCAAAAGACTACTCAAGACCATGCCCTGCGTAAATGTTGCACTTTAATGGCACATCTCGACAATGTGACCGTTAAATAAAAGCAAACATAATAAAAAATCAGTCGGTGGGACCTCGGAAAAAGTGACCGCCACCGTTTTGTAGAGGGAACCATTCAATATAGGTCAATTTTACAGCAATGGACCCTTAGTCACTTAGGACTTAGGACTTAGTCACGTTCTTGGATACCACTTAGCAACGGCTCCCTGGATCCCCATCCCAGCGTTCATTCTGAGTTTTGACTGCGATCGAGCGAATCATTCCTAGGCCAATTATTTTATGTTGAAAATTAACCGAAATGACTGGACTAGAAGACGTTTGAATTAACCTAGGAATGCTTCTCCCGATCACACTCAAAGCTTTGTGATCTGAATAAACTCTTGCGTGGCTTGCCATCCAGCGAGCCGTTGCTAAGTGGTATCCTAGCACGTGACTGCAAAGGGCCAATTGAGGGAAATGATCTCCGGAACTTTGATCATTAGCCTTTTAATAGTTTTTTAATACACACTCAAGAGTTGACGATTTTCTTTGTAATCTTTCCACAGGCACGCCCTTACTAGGAACCGACGGCAATCCACTTGTAATGCAACCCACATACCAACAAGTAATGGTCAAACCTGGCACAGCACCAGTCTACGCTCAACCATCTTCAGCCCGCGCCGCAGTGCAAAGTGCACAGCAGTCTTCTTCAATAGCACAGCAACAGCAGCAGTCGCAGCAACAGCAACAGAATCCTGCTCAAATGGTGATGCCGCAGTATGTTGGCGTGCCGCAGCCGATGTACGTGATGCCGTCCACGGCTCGTCCTCCCTTTGCACAGCAACAGGCTGTAAGTTTTCCTAGTCAGTTTCAAGCTTCACCGCACGTATATTCTCTATCAAGAGATTTCAGTTCACTTTCCTTTAGAAAATATTAGCACCTTGTTGTCCGTGACCACGAGGTTTTGGTTTTCTTGCAGTAGTCAGCGAGAAATAGTAGCCAGTGTAGTATTTAGCCAGAGAGCACAGGAGTAGGTAGTTATCATTTTCGACGTTGGAAAATAAGGTTGGCTCGTTAATGTAATTTAATTTTGTAAATTTGGATGCGACCAAAGAGTGAGAACAATTTTTATCTCAGTAAAATCTCAATATCTGCACTATGTTTCAAGAAAGACATGGAATGCCCATGTATGTAGTAAAGATGTCTTAAAAACCAATCACTTGTAATTGCGTTTTAGTAGAAAATGAGGTAATAAAGGTTGTTTTTAACCTTTGAAATCCCCAGTAATGTCTGATTGCTTGCATTTTTTTTCTTTGCAAAAAAGATATGTCTTTCATATCTATTTACGGATGGATGAACGCAAAGACAGCGCGTGGAAACTCGGGGGAAATAAAGGACGTCCTTGCACGTACTCCTCCCACGCGCGCGCGCTTCTGTGTCAGCCGACTTTGCGATAAGATAGTGCAGGAAGTCAGTTATAGAACAGGGTAGCTTCTCTATTTACCTTAATTTATTCTATTCCTTGCCATATTTTGAAATCATTAGCATCGTTCTCGTGCTCTAACACTCGATAGCTGATATCTTGGCTCAGAGAGTTTTTATTTGCAGTCCAGCCTGCCAACAGATTTTTAGCTCAACCAAGGGCACTAATCCAACTGTTTAAGTAAATACAAGGAATTGTCTGCAATTTCGTATATTTATTTTTTACAGTCCCTAAAAAGATCCTCTATAAAGCCCCGCCCCCCCCCCTCCCCAGGTGGGGGGGGGCTTATTTATTTCAAGCACTTTTTAGGGGAGTGGGGCTTATTTGAGAGGAGTGTTTATTCGATTAAGCAAAGAAGATAGTATCAGTCCTCCATAAAGAACCAGATTGCCAAGTTGAAATGCTCAAGTACAAGAATTTAGAAGTCATGCAGCCGAGGATCAAAAACAAATCCGAACTTCCAGCTGGTGAATAAGCCATCTTGGATCAGTCCTCACGAGGTTTTAGAGTCGTAATAGACTCCTCACAGTAGTGATTGATTCATACAGTCTACCAGTTATCAGTGAATAATGATAAGGTGGAGGGAAGGGGGGCTTAACTTTTTTTCCCCTGAAAATGAGGGGGGGGGATTATTTGAGATGGGGGCCTTATTTGAGAGAGGGGCTTAATAGAGGATTTACGGTAGAGGTATCCGAAAGGAAGGTTCAACTTTACATTAGATACCTTTAGATTCTAAGACGAGTACGATTACGAGTACGAGATTTTCTCAATACTAAATAGTGGGTGAAGTAGTGTACGGGCGTGAGCCAGCGTCATTTTGGCAGGAAAAAGTGGTAGCCGTCGTCATTCTAGTACGAGTTTTCGCGCGAATGTCGTGGTGGCGAAAAGAAGATATCAAATAGACTTTGTCACGGTTTTCGACGCCATCTTGACAAGTAGGCAAACGCGTGAGAAATTACAGTGATTGTATGAGAATCTAATGTCAAATAATTTCCGTAGAACGGCTGTTCTGAAAAAAATATGATTTGTAAACTAAAGCTTCACTCCTAAGGATTCTCCTGAAAAAATTTGACGGCGTTACATGCACTAGAAGACCTAGAACCACTTTTTAAAATTTTCTATACATTTGTCTTTAAGAAAGTCCCGCGTAAATTACAGACAAATATATGGAAAATCTAAAGCAAGCCTCTGGAGAAATTTAAGCACAGGTACGCCCCCCAGAATTTTTAGGACAATCCTTTGCTTTGTAGCTTTAGTTTACAATTGATATTTTTTTCAGAACAGCCGTTTTACGGAAATTATTCGAGATTAAATTCTTGTACAAACACTGTAATTTCTCACACGTTTGCCTACTCGTCAAGATGGCGTCGAAAACCGTGACAAGGGCTAGTTTAAAGGTTTTATCATTTTGCGATCGGGAGAGCGCTAACCTCCTTCACTAAAGATAACAATGCTAACTTTTCTAGTGAAAAATGGTAAAATGAAGCTTTCCGGGAAGTTTACATTTTGAGGAGAGGCGAAAAACCTTTTAATACGTCAAATCTCGTGCTGGGCACCCTCTCGTGCTCGTAGTCGTCCTTGTCCACGAATCTGTAGGTCTCTATTAGTTTCGGACTTGTGTCTATCAAATTAACCCACTCACCCTGTTCACTTCCTCCACCCTTCGCTCCTTACACTTCCTGTTTAACTACTCAAAGCATGTGTGAAAGTTAGTAAAGTGTGATTTGTGATCTGAAATTCTGCAACCTTCGTTGCCCTAATTTGGCGTCGCCACTGTAGGTATCCCGCGTCAAAAACAAATGTTAGCTGTTTTTGTAACAGTCATACGAAAAGACTTTAGGAAAATTAGCACCTTTTACCCCTCTTTTGCTTTTTCCGCCTACACCGTGGCCCAGGTGTTTGTGTTCGTAATTCTCGGTGTACCCCAACATTGAAAAGGGCAAGGCTGGGGAGGGGTATTTTCCCACAGACAAATTACCCTTTTTAAACATTACCACAAACTCTATGATTTGGAGAAATGATTCGGTTCAGTTACATCACCCTCGTGAGGAAGTAGAATTTCATTGTCCCGATGAACGTAGTCCTGAATACGACTGTTGTTTTTGACAGTGACTGACTTTTCAACAACATGTGCGGTAGCCATCTGCAGAGTCAAAGTAAGTTGTATCACGTCAGTTGATGCAAATAAATTCAGAGTTTAATACCATTAACTGACGTTTCAATTCACTTTGACTTTGATGATGACTATCGCACAGGTTGTTAAAACGTCAGACACTGTCTGGTAGAATGTGATTTGAACTCGTAACCACCAAGCCCTGCGGAAACAAGTTCAGCCAGTGGTCAGAACAAAACTCAAACCCCGGACCACCGTGTTGCCACGCTGTGGCACCTGAGAACTCTTGGCTCTTTTGCATTTTTTCTCGTACTTATCGATCTCTTCTCTTGAGCGTCTGGGCGCTTCGCTAAAGATATGCCGAGATAGTTATGGGTAGCTGTTTTTATTGTAGTATAAAGCAGTTAAAGCCTGTAGGGTTCTGGAGTTCCCCTCCCACTTAATTACGAAGCAACGTGTACTGAACTAGACATAACCATCCAAATAAATTGATCAATCTAGTTAGCCAAACAAGCACTTTATAATACAGTCTTATGACAACAACGATGAGTGACTGAAAGAGTTTCCCCACGAAGGTATTTGGTTCAATAGCCAGTGAGAAAGCCATTGAGACGAACCAAACTAATGTGGGTCGATCTAAATAAAGTTAAGATCGTCTGTTGGGTCAGACGTCGAACTTAGGACTCGTCGAACCAATCAACTGAATCACACCAAAAAGCAATATTAAAAAATTTTCTCCCGAACGAGGCTAAATATACATTATTATCAGATTTTCAATTTATTAGTTTAGCTCGTGGCATGTGAAGGTCGGCGTTTGTCCCGGAGACGATCTTCAGACGAACTTAACTGAGCCGGACGTCGAACTTTTCATGAACTTAACTCGATAAGTTTGGTTCGTCTCATGAAAAGGTCGACGTTTGGCCTAGGCCTAAGCGAACCAAAATAAAGGCCTTCTTCTTCGTATGCGACTTCTATTAACTTCACAAACGTTTTTATCCTGCTTTAGGGAGCAGAAGGAACTCCGGGAAGCCAGTGGACAGGGGGATCTGGACAGTCAGTGACGCCATCAAATCCGGGATATCAAGATGTGACTGCTCAGTTTAGCGGGCTTTCGTTGTCAGGGCAACAGGCTTCTCTCGATCCAAGCTCTTATCAACAGTACGCCGAAACTGTCGTTCCTAGTTCAAGTTCTACAACCCCACCTATGTATATAAACAGTGTCACGCAAGCTGGTATGACGGGACAAGTTCAATACGTTGTGTTACCCGCTCATTCTAGCGTGTCACAAATAAGGCCTGTATTACAAGGCCAAGGTTATGCCGGGCAAGCGGTACCTCAAACTGCCTCACCGCAGCAATACCAAAGTTACGTAGTTTCTCCAACACAAACGCCTTATCAACAATTTCCTTACGGTGCCATATCCAAAGATGTCACGTTATCCGTTATTCAACAACACCGACGTTCTCAAACACCACCCACCCCTCCCCAGACTGGGTCACCTGTCGTTGCAAGTCAGTTCTTGCAGCAACAGCAGTTGACGCTGTCTTCGCAAATCCCTGCACAATCTCCGCAACAATCACACACCTCCCCATACCAGCAACAAACGACCTCACCCCACACCCCACAGCAAGTTATGCGACCTATGGTACCAGTAGTCATTCAAGGAGGTCGAGGAGTTACTATGGCAACTGCTGTTGGACAGCAAAACCCAATCCCTTCACAATACCCACAGCCTCCAGCCCATGTACAAACACAGTACCCATCTAACCAGAGGCGAATGTAAAATATTGATAGACGCGTTCCTAAGGCAGGTGAAATGTACGGATCTGAGGCTGTCATGCAAGGTTCCGCGTTGGTTCCTTACGGCGATGGTTCGATTCCGACTGGATATGAGATTCCAGGCGAGAGGAGCCAGTACAACTTTCAGTATCAAAGGTATATTCATAATTTCGTATATACACATAAATCCTGTGGGTGCTATTGCAGGAAGCGTTACATTTAGGGCCTCTTCACATGAGCATGACCCGGCCGGGTTACCGGGACGAATTTCCCCTTGGGTTCATATGAGAAATTTCAGCCCGGTTTCCGAGATGAGATACGACCAGAGATCTTGGGGACGAGTTCTGGCGCCAAATTCGGGAAACAGCAAACATGGAGAAACACAAAAATTATCACTTTCGCGCCTATCATAGCTTCGGCAACTCTTAAAGCGGTATCACTGCAGTTAAATGGGATGTTTATGTGGAAAATACAGTAGGCAATGTAAGACGATGCCATCCGGACCGCCAGAATTCATCCCGTTAACCGAGCTGAAAAAAAAAAAAAAAAAAAAAAAAAAAAAAAAAAAAATACAAATGAGAGATCATATAGAAGAGAAAAGATGGTGGATAGGAGTAAGAGTGGGGGCGGGGGGGGGGGGATTGAAGGCGGGGGGGTGCTTTACACTGTGGGGGGGGGGGGGGCGGGGGGGGGATTATTAGAGATTGGGGCCTTATTTGAGTTAGGGGATTAATAGAGGATTTACGGTAGAGGTATCCGAAAGGAAGGTTCAACTTTACATTAGATACCTTTAGATTCTAAGACGAGTACGATTACGAGTACGAGATTTTCTCAATACTAAATAGTGGGTGAAGTAGTGTACGGGCGTGAGCCAGCGTCATTTTGGCAGGAAAAAGTGGTAGCCGTCGTCATTCTAGTACGAGTTTTCGCGCGAATGTCGTGGTGGCGAAAAGAAGATATCAAATAGACTTTGTCACGGTTTTCGACGCCATCTTGACAAGTAGGCAAACGCGTGAGAAATTACAGTGATTGTATGAGAATCTAATGTCAAATAATTTCCGTAGAACGGCTGTTCTGAAAAAAATATGATTTGTAAACTAAAGCTTCACTCCTAAGGATTCTCCTGAAAAAATTTGACGGCGTTACATGCACTAGAAGACCTAGAACCACTTTTTAAAATTTTCTATACATTTGTCTTTAAGAAAGTCCCGCGTAAATTACAGACAAATATATGGAAAATCTAAAGCAAGCCTCTGGAGAAATTTAAGCACAGGTACGCCCCCCAGAATTTTTAGGACAATCCTTTGCTTTGTAGCTTTAGTTTACAATTGATATTTTTTTCAGAACAGCCGTTTTACGGAAATTATTCGAGATTAAATTCTTGTACAAACACTGTAATTTCTCACACGTTTGCCTACTCGTCAAGATGGCGTCGAAAACCGTGACAAGGGCTAGTTTAAAGGTTTTATCATTTTGCGATCGGGAGAGCGCTAACCTCCTTCACTAAAGATAACAATGCTAACTTTTCTAGTGAAAAATGGTAAAATGAAGCTTTCCGGGAAGTTTACATTTTGAGGAGAGGCGAAAAACCTTTTAATACGTCAAATCTCGTGCTGGGCACCCTCTCGTGCTCGTAGTCGTCCTTGTCCACGAATCTGTAGGTCTCTATTAGTTTCGGACTTGTGTCTATCAAATTAACCCACTCACCCTGTTCACTTCCTCCACCCTTCGCTCCTTACACTTCCTGTTTAACTACTCAAAGCATGTGTGAAAGTTAGTAAAGTGTGATTTGTGATCTGAAATTCTGCAACCTTCGTTGCCCTAATTTGGCGTCGCCACTGTAGGTATCCCGCGTCAAAAACAAATGTTAGCTGTTTTTGTAACAGTCATACGAAAAGACTTTAGGAAAATTAGCACCTTTTACCCCTCTTTTGCTTTTTCCGCCTACACCGTGGCCCAGGTGTTTGTGTTCGTAATTCTCGGTGTACCCCAACATTGAAAAGGGCAAGGCTGGGGAGGGGTATTTTCCCACAGACAAATTACCCTTTTTAAACATTACCACAAACTCTATGATTTGGAGAAATGATTCGGTTCAGTTACATCACCCTCGTGAGGAAGTAGAATTTCATTGTCCCGATGAACGTAGTCCTGAATACGACTGTTGTTTTTGACAGTGACTGACTTTTCAACAACATGTGCGGTAGCCATCTGCAGAGTCAAAGTAAGTTGTATCACGTCAGTTGATGCAAATAAATTCAGAGTTTAATACCATTAACTGACGTTTCAATTCACTTTGACTTTGATGATGACTATCGCACAGGTTGTTAAAACGTCAGACACTGTCTGGTAGAATGTGATTTGAACTCGTAACCACCAAGCCCTGCGGAAACAAGTTCAGCCAGTGGTCAGAACAAAACTCAAACCCCGGACCACCGTGTTGCCACGCTGTGGCACCTGAGAACTCTTGGCTCTTTTGCATTTTTTCTCGTACTTATCGATCTCTTCTCTTGAGCGTCTGGGCGCTTCGCTAAAGATATGCCGAGATAGTTATGGGTAGCTGTTTTTATTGTAGTATAAAGCAGTTAAAGCCTGTAGGGTTCTGGAGTTCCCCTCCCACTTAATTACGAAGCAACGTGTACTGAACTAGACATAACCATCCAAATAAATTGATCAATCTAGTTAGCCAAACAAGCACTTTATAATACAGTCTTATGACAACAACGATGAGTGACTGAAAGAGTTTCCCCACGAAGGTATTTGGTTCAATAGCCAGTGAGAAAGCCATTGAGACGAACCAAACTAATGTGGGTCGATCTAAATAAAGTTAAGATCGTCTGTTGGGTCAGACGTCGAACTTAGGACTCGTCGAACCAATCAACTGAATCACACCAAAAAGCAATATTAAAAAATTTTCTCCCGAACGAGGCTAAATATACATTATTATCAGATTTTCAATTTATTAGTTTAGCTCGTGGCATGTGAAGGTCGGCGTTTGTCCCGGAGACGATCTTCAGACGAACTTAACTGAGCCGGACGTCGAACTTTTCATGAACTTAACTCGATAAGTTTGGTTCGTCTCATGAAAAGGTCGACGTTTGGCCTAGGCCTAAGCGAACCAAAATAAAGGCCTTCTTCTTCGTATGCGACTTCTATTAACTTCACAAACGTTTTTATCCTGCTTTAGGGAGCAGAAGGAACTCCGGGAAGCCAGTGGACAGGGGGATCTGGACAGTCAGTGACGCCATCAAATCCGGGATATCAAGATGTGACTGCTCAGTTTAGCGGGCTTTCGTTGTCAGGGCAACAGGCTTCTCTTGATCCAAGCTCTTATCAACAGTACGCCGAAACTGTCGTTCCTAGTTCAAGTTCTACAACCCCACCTATGTATATAAACAGTGTCACGCAAGCTGGTATGACGGGACAAGTTCAATACGTTGTGTTACCCGCTCATTCTAGCGTGTCACAAATAAGGCCTGTATTACAAGGCCAA